ATAGACAGGGTTCTGGCACCAGCTGAAGAGTATATCCGCTACCAGGAATTGCATACACATTATACTTCAAGATTTTATATGGAAAAGTGCAAGTCACTGGACTTTTTACCTCACAGGTGTAAGTAGAATAAGTATTTACTAAATAGACAAAACATATTTATAAACTAATAAGGCTGTTACACAGTGTTTTAAATATTTGTAGTATTAGAGCAAAACATAGAGTGTATTATTGAGTGTAAAAATACAATTTTATGAGTGGTTAAAATAAACCCTTTAATAAAAAATTTCTCATTTTTGTAATAATTCATTTGAGTTGTAATCTAGCTTCTAAAAATATTTACTTCATTAGTATCTCATTATTTTAAGATGAGTTTCTTAGCTGAAATTTGGGATTTATATTTTTTTATTCTAAATATATTTATATACTAAATAATATTGTAAAATGTTGCAATGTTCAGTGAGTTCTTTTGCCAGTATTACATATAGCACATGTATCTAAGTTTTTCTTGTTACTGATTTAGTAAATAGGTGTTTGTTTATTAATATATGAAATGCTTCTGATATAAAAAAAAAAGGAGAATTATGAAAAACATTTTTTTTTAATTAAAGCTTGTTCTTATAGAAGTAGTGAAGGATGAGACAGTTTTTTTTGTCACTTTCCAGCTGATTCTCCAGGCTTCTCAGAAATATCAGATTTCCACAGTTGTTCACCATCACCAACACCATCTAGTGGACTAGAAAGCACTAGTATTAAAGATTCACCTATGCAGATTGATGTAATTGTATCAGCAGCAGAAGTCTCCTGTAACAATCAAGGTGAGAATGTTTTTGGTTATTAGTAATGAAAACAATAAGATAATTTAAAATGATTTAAAGATTTTGTGTAGCATAGTTTTAGACTTAAAACATGAAATATTTTCAACATTTACTGTGAGAGTTTTTATTTTTAAGTTCAGATGATATTAATTGAAAATTAAAAGGTTTGAACATTGATTCTTAGCAACTAAGATTGTTAAAAATACTCAATCTTTTCAGATTACAAGGCAGTTGAATTACAGATTAATCTGTACCTTATCTTAAATGTGTGTAAATTGAGTAAAACAATTCTTATGATATGTGTTTGAAGTTATTTTTTTCAGAAATGGGAATCTTTTGCAGATCCACAGTTTGCTGCATTTTATTTAGTCATTTCAAAAATAATAAATGGGCTTGTGTCAGTATGATGAAAAAATTTGTGAGGGTTTGCAGGAGTGGGTATTTATCTAATGTGATTTATTATGTTAAAATTCTTGTGACATATAGCAGAGCTTATAGCTACTAGTACCAATGGTTAATTGACTGACTTGAGTGCTAAAGGTAAAATTCATCCTTTTACGTGATCTCATCAAGCCTGGTCCTCTTGACACATTCATTGGATGTTATTATAAAATGACCATGTATAGTAAGAGGAGGCTAGCAAGAACACACTTAGGGTATTAACTATGATTACTTTTTTATTTTTAAAGTTTTATCAAGTTGATAATTAGTGATTACTGTGATTTAAACCTGTTGTAAATTCTTGAAAAAACATGAACCGATGTAGGGAAAATAGAAAAATATTGTATACTCTTTTCTTTTTTCTTTTTTTTTCCTGGCTAGAACAGATTGTGAGGCAGGAAACATGGATGTGACAAATTCAAGAGGAACTATTTTTTCCACATCTTTCTTTTGTTTTACTTCATTTGTGTGATCTAATTTATTTGGGGTGATGATTGTCAATGGTATTTGAAGTGCCTGTTTGTTTAACTTTTGTTTAGGTTAGTGTTGGTAGACATTTTTAGGTCATAAGTAAATAAATATTTATTACCAACTATTGGGACATTAGGTATAGGTCAAATTTCAACTGCTTTTGATTTATAGGTACATTACTCTATTAGTGAATAGTAGCTTTGTCTCACCTTCATTTGAATGAATGTTAAGACATATAAAACTAGTTATGTTTTAAAGTGTTTAATTTTTTATTTTACTTAAACCAGTAGAGAAAATGCTTTTAATTATGGTAATATTTGAAAATATTTTTTTGACTTTACTCTTTTGACCCCTAGTTTGGGGGTCTTCTCACAGTAACAGTTTCTTTTTTTTTTCATGTAATTTTCTTCTCCTATCTTTTTTTTACATAAAAACAAAACAATTACATGTTTCACAAATACATCATTTAATTAAAACCATGGTTTCATAGTAAAAACATCATCTGGTACAGACTGAAATGTTTTGCAACAGTGTATATATGTGTATATATATATGTTTAAACAAAGAATTTGAAGTGATTTTGACATTCACTTAGAGACAAGTGGGGAGGAGCTTAAGTTGGTTTGGTTGTTTATAACTTTGCCTGGATTTGGTTTAGAATTCTACTTATTACTAAAAATGTCATGCTTCTGAGAAACAAATACTAATCTGATTTCCCTTCTTTTTTAATTTCTTAGGTGGCATTTTACTTTTGGGAAAAAAACAGGAAAGTAGTACAGTAAAATGATCAAACATTGTGGCAATACATATACTGTAATACTTTTTTTAAAGAAATTTGTGCTATTTTTATGTACAAACATGTGGCACAATCTTGGATACATATTTTTACAATGTTATTTTGCAAATTACAAAACAACAATGATCAGTTATGGTATTTTTCACTGCGTGGAGTAGATGAAACTGTAGTACATCTTGCAAGTTGCATGTAAAATGGTGGTACGGATCTCAGTTATTAGAAGGAAAAACTTGTATATTGTGAGACATTCAATACAAAAAATTCATTTGGATAAAATCATTGTTGGCTTGATAGGCCAAACACTGAATGAAAATGAGAATGTTGTGGTCAGGGGGTTTCAGACACCTAAATTACACGCAAGTTAGTAATTGATGGCACAATTTTATTTTTGTTTTTCCTCCTCCAACCCCTAGCTTCATTATAAAATTTTTATAAAACTACAAATAAAAAAAAACTGGCTTAATAAAAAGAAAAACAGGGTTTCATAGATTAATTTATTGTAATCCTTCCTAAAGAAATTTCAAGTACTGCTGCTATTGAGGATTCCCTCTTGTTTTGAATATGAAGGAAAATAGGATATGTTGATAATATGGCTCAATAAATTCTATGTGCAAACTCACCAAAGGCTTAGGCCTATGGCATTAGCTAGCTAGGGTTAATATTTCTGAATTACAAGTAGCGAGTTGCACAATGCAATGTGCGATTTATAGGTTACTAGTGTAGCTCATCAAAAATGACGGGACAAGTACTACCATCTTCGCCCTCACCTCCCAGTATTCCCTAACCTCATATTTCATAGCTAACTGAAGTAAATATATTTTATAAAATCAAGCTTAACCAACAAAAAAGCAGAAAAGTGCAGCTGAGGCAGTCAAAAGTCAGTAAATTCCTTTGTGAGCCAATCAAAATTAAGATCATTCATGAAGTGAATTTGTGGCATATTCATAGAATAATTATTGGTAAAAATCAGCTAGATTAACAACTTCTAATATATAGAAAAGCCAGTGCATTTTGGTAATGTTACTTTTCAACAATGGGTTTTATGTCATGTTGCTTAGCAACAAAAGTATAATGTAATATTGTTGTTAG